CCAAATTAGGCGGGATATCCTTGGGCGCTCAGGAAACTGCTTAGGCGGGCGCCCAAGGCCTGTGCCCTGCCCAGGGGCAAAAAATGCCCCTTGTTGAGGGCATAATTTGATCATTTTCTTTTTTTAATACTAAAAGGGTAAAATTGTGGGTTTTAGGTCCATTAGAGCCTATTTTAGAGAGAGAAAAATCCCAAAAAACTAGTTTTTGGTGATTTCCATAGGATCGAAGAGTTTCTCAAAGTTACGAGAAATTGATCTAAGCATCACCGATTAATATTAGATTTAGTCTTATGGGTTATACAATTATACTTATACAGATAGAACTATAAAGAAATTTTTCTTTCTACTGGGCCGCCCCGGTTTTGGGCGCCCGGCTAGGCGGTAGGCGGCCTGGAGCCCTTAGGCTACCTGGCGCTTTTTGAGGCACTGTTTAGAAATTAAAGTTTTTATCTACTTAATACATTGTGCGGACAAAAACAATATACCCATAGAATGAGTGTAGTGGAGATGAGGATATTGAGATGGATGAGCGGCAAGACAAGAAGGGATAGAATTCGAAATTAATCTATTCGAGAGAATTTAGGTATGGAACCAATAGGCGATAAAATGTGAGAGAGTAGACTTAGGTGGGCTGGCCATGTGTGGCACCGACCAAGTACAGCACCTGTTAGGAGATGCGAGTTAGTTCAAGTAGAAGGACTGAAAAGAGCAAGGGGTAGGCCTAAAAGAACGTGGTTGGAAGTAGTCTGAAAAGATATGGTGGCCTCACTGAGGATATAGCCTTTAATAGAGCAGAATGGAGAATCAGGATTCATGTAACCAATCCCAATTAATTGGGTAAAGGCTAAAATAATTATGATGATGATCTACCTAATGCATTGTATCACAACATAGTGCTATGAAATAATTCATCAAGAAAAATTTGTATTCATTACTTTTAAGATAAGCAACAAAATAACTCAGGAATTCATGCAAGTTTAGAGCCAAGTGCCTTGCTTTTGCATTCAATTAACATGATGTTAGCAGATGCATGGATATCATGAAAATCTGATGTGATTGAATAGAAGATGCATGGCAATGTCAAAGTTGGATAATCAGGTCAAAATCGTCAATAACTAATAATACACAAAGCAAAGGAAGTGTGGAGAAGGATCACAGTTATGGTAATGAGAATGAGAAGGGACAAGATGGTGAAATCAAATAGTGAGACGTTATTGAAGAGATCTTATACTTGATACCGTATTTGTTTTTATAGTGGATTATGTAGATTTTGCTCATTCCCCCAAGAGTGAAAAAAGAAACGAGAAAAGGAGGTCATCTGAGATCTCTACCGTATGCTTCCCAATGGATTGCTATTGAAAATGTTGGACACATGAACTTAGTACTTTAATAATGGTTTTTCATTCATACAATTAACATTAATCGATTTTTAAGTGACTCTTAATGGAAAAAACAGTTAACAATGTCCAATAGCCGTTCCATCAATTTTACCATTAGTGCGTTTTGTCAAATCCAAACAAAACTGTTCACCCAAGTTGAGTGGATAGGATCCCAACTTTCAGACCTAGAGAAAGTAATTCTTACATAAGTCAAAGAAAAGTTAGGGAAGCTAAACTTCGACTTGCCCAACATGTTCTGTTTTTGTGACTTCTTCCAAACTTTTGTTTTTATTTTTTTATTTTTCCCTTTCTCAGTTCCAGGTTTTTCTTTGAAAACAGTGGATTCAGACTGGAAAAATTGAGTCCACACCTTACAATGTCCCTTGGATGAGAGTTTTAAGGTTCAAGTGACCCCCCTTCAACCCCCTGCATCATTAAGCATGTGAGTGTAAATTTATAGAATTAACATTCAAAATTGTATGCATTGGGTCTGAACTGTGCATTATAAGTGTGGTTACTAATAATGTGGTCGTAAGAACTAGTTCCCCTCTATTTATTTTAGTAATGTATGTGTATGCAAGACATTTCAAAATGCATATTGCATAATCCCCACATACATGTTATGGTTAATGTACAGTTCAGACC